CAATAAATAGGCAGTGCACCGACATCTATGAATCTCATACCTGTTGGCCACAGTGTGTTGAGAGTGTGACATAGCGTGATTCGGAATCTGAAGGGCAATCCGGACCACAACTAAGACTTCCAGAATGAGGCCCAACCACGGTAGTTGTGTGATTGATTCGTACTCATCAGCTGGTATCGACGGTGGTGGTAGTCCAGGGAAGCAGTATTGCCAGCACGTAGAGAACATGGTCAACGAGTGTAGAAAGTTGTCCAGAGACTGCCATTGTGCAACATCATCATAGATTCCACATCGGCGAAGCTCATCCAACATGGTGAAAATGCACTCAATGAAATCTACCATAAGGCGGCGACATGGATACAAGCTGCACAGACAATCACGCACAAGGCAATGCAAGCACAACCAAGTACAAGATCAAACTGATGCAACGCAGAAAGATGACGGACGAGTTTTAATCTTGACTCATCCGTGACACGGTTGCCGCTCCGGGCTCATAAGAGAAAGAAGGTCGTTAAGATGCTTGCTCATCCGCTGAGTAGGCGAGCGGTCACGATGAGGTGACTCAATGCCTTCTCAGTGAGCTTGGCGAGATAGCCGGGTTCCAGTCCCCACGAAGCCGCCATCGTTTCGAGAGTAGGTGCGTCGCCTTTCGGCATGCGTTGACGCGCTTGAAGGAGCTGCGTCGCCATGGAATCTAATGACTTGTTGCCGTTGAGCCGGGACGGGTGATTGGCCCACTTGACCAGTGACGTCAAAGGCGTGGCTGGTCACTGGTCCATGTGTAGTACTTGACAACCTCTTCCGGCGTGCTGTTCATGGTGAGCAATTGTGACGCCGCCGGCTTGGACGGCGGTGAAGACACTCCGTGAAGAGACTGAATGATCCGGGGTTGCACCGCGCTATCAAACGACTTGCCATCAAGGGCCGCTGCGCTGGCTGTAGGAAGGGAGCTGGCAGGTGACGAGGATGGTGTGTGGTTGACCGGTGGCGGTGTAACCAACTCTGCATCATCTTTCTGGCTTGCCATCGTGGGAGAGGTCAAAGCGCGCAGCGATGCTGAATACTGAGCCTGGAGCAGCTCATGCGCACGATTGAGATCATTGTACTTCTTGACCATGTCATCTGTCTGGGTGGAAGGTGTGAGAGAGGCGTGGTGTTGCTGAAGAAATTGAAGTACCAAGCTGGCCAAATGGTCATGAACCTTGATCCGCTGATTGAAGTCATCGATGTTGAGACCCAGCGAGTTGGCAAGGTCCTTTTCCAGGGTGAGCAGGTTGATAGACTGTGATCGTCGTAGCAGTTTGGAACAGGTACTCCAAAGTAAGGCCTCGGTGCGAGTGCGAAAGCCTTCCCACGTCACGAATCTGCCGTGAGCGAACGGTCGGAGCAGCCAGTTGGTGAGGCCCCCATGAATAACCTGAACCAGGCGAACGTCACGAATATCCATGCCTGACATGTCGCGCAGGTTGCCATGCGGAGTGTTGGCAACGGTCATGGGCAGGCTAAAGTTGTAGAGCTGATTGACATCAAACATGCCATCTCCAGGTGTCCAGTCAGGCGATGGTGTAAGCCAGGCTTTCTGAGGGCGAACCGGTAGAGCCGCAGGAGGTCCAGGTGGCGGTGTAGGTTGCGGAGTAGTGACCGGTGGTGGCATCACGGGTGGCATGAACTTCGTTGGCGTGGGGTCTGGAGGGATCGGCATCATGTAGTTGATCGCTGGGTGTTGGAATTGCTGTGTGGGACTGTGAGTCGATTGAAAATTGGTGGGCATCATCGGGAAATTGTTGGCAGAGTTGTAGCCGGAATTGTGTTGCCAAGATACCAGGTTGTTCCAATCCATGCCTTCCGAGACGTGGTGGTCATTGTGTTCACGTCGGTGTGCTTTACGAGCCTGAGAAGCACTCCGATCACGTCTGCGCCGAGTCCTGGATCTATCACGATCATCACGTCGAGACATGGTTACACAATCGACTCTCAATCTTCACGCTTCCATCTTGAGAGACACGTATCAAACAACAAGCAAATCCATGCAACGGCAAGGTATCAACGAATCCAACAAATGGCAAGCAAACATCGATGGTGAGACGTCTCTATGATCTGACCGCTGTCTTCCCTTTAGTGAGACCTCGTTCCTGGTTAAATGTGAAATTCCGCTGTTCTATGATAAGCACGTTGAGGTCAAATTTTCCGACAGAGCCGGCCCGGGGTCACACAATGGGTACACCCGAGGATTCCCCACGAATGGGGTGTACACACTTGAACTCCAGATGGAGAGTGCTAATCTTTCGAGTACAACTGATGAGTCTCGAGTACAACCGATGAGTCTCGAGTGGGTGTAGGTTCGGCTTGCAGTCACTTGGTTTCCGTCTAGCTGCGAAAACGTTACAAGGTTCAACATGAAGCACACACAGCGAGAGAAACAACGGGCCAAAAGGACTTT